ACAATGATCTCCTAAGAAGATGAGGCAATATCCCCTTCCTGTCTTACACCCCAAGAATATTTCTCACGAACAAGCACAGGAGAGAGAGAGGCTAAAGCTCGGTTCCTTCTTGCACGCAGGCACTCGCACCTGCCCTAAGCAAGACACCAGAGTTAAGAGCGAGAAAATGCTCGCAGGCTCTCGTTGGCTCACAAGTATCGCTAATAACGAACTAAGAATAGATAGTGTATTCATTTCGTCTGGTTATTCATGCTTTAAGAACATTCAACGGTTATGAAATAACGAAAACAATTTTGGAGTTTGAGGAACGAGTATGAAGCAAGAGCAGCGCTACGGATTTTCGTCTACGGGGTTTTGTACTCTCAGCATGTGGGTTTCATTTCTGATTTTTCATTCACGCTGCTGTGATCACCATGCCCATTACAGCGGGAGATACAAGGCACTAATGGGGAAACATTAAGGAAGGGAATGAAAAGAAAAAATAAGTGAGTGTTGCCATAACAGAGAGAAAATATTAACAATTATAGGAAAAGTTATACCATAGGATACAATTATATACAAGATATCAAGAATGAATAAAGATAAAGAGAAATGTTAGGGAAGGAGAGAGGCAGTGGGGGAGGGGGAGAGAGGGAGGGAGGAGGGGAAGAGGGGAAGAGGGGAGGAGGGAGAGAAGGAGAGAGTGGGGGGAGAGGGAAGGGTAAGGGCCCTGAACTTAGTATTCACGGGGGATATGTTCTTGCCTCGGGCGATGATTTAATCCTAGTTGGAAACCTGTCGTTAGCAGGTGCCAGATACCAAAATCAACGAGATTCTCGGACCCAATCCTGACATTAATGATAAATTCATGGCCTCGTATTAAACATTTTCCAGGCTCCATATAACTCACTTTACTTATCTACTATAGGGCTAAGTTACAGTGATGATTCCTTAATATATTATCAATACCTATATACATATTTTCTAAGCCTGTGAAGATGATTGATATGACAACACTCATCACAAACTATCATTTCCTCGTTTAGAAAACCAATATTCACAACATAACACATTTTTCCCCCGAACAAAAAACTGTGTTGCATAATAACGTTGATCATTTTATTCCTCTTACTAAAATGAAGATGATTAATCGTTGATTGGTGTTTTACTTTCGTTTTTTTTTCATTATTAATGATATCTGTATTGCGTTAAAAAAAAATTCCCTTTAATCACGCATAATAATAACATCTAGTTCATTATTCCTTTACCAATTGATCTTTATTATTCTTATTCCTAATTCTTGAAATTGTTTTAATATAGTCACTCCAAAATCTTTTATTCCTATTACTATTTTCTGTTATTATCATAATTATCCTGAACTGCACGTACTTACCGGCATTATTACCTTCACTACAACCAACTTCACCATAATCTATCATCATTACTGCCATTATCCATAACCGTCCTATCATTATCATCATTATCACTACTACTAGTATTTTTGGTTACCATTAACATTTATGGTGATGCTGTTATCATTCTCATTATCATGGCAATTACTAGTATTACCATTGATATTGGCAGTTATGGTAGTGTCACTTTTTCCATGATTATTCTGTTAACGAAATACTAGTTATAACTCTTACTTGCATTATCCCATTACCATGAAGTCAAGCACTACCATTAATTTGGTCTATTTATTCATTTATTTATTTATTCATGCTTATTGTCTATATTGTTGGTATTCGTTTCACCATTTGTTGTCATTATGATTTTTGTTGTTTCTTATACTTAGTTTTGTTATTGTTGTCATTGTTATTTTTATAATTTATTTTTACTAATCATTATTGTTGTTACTATTATTCTATCATCATAATTATCATCATTATTATTACTAGTGTTATCATCATTATTATCACTATCATGATTACTATTGGTAACATTATCATCATTACTATTGTTGCTGTTATTATCATTATCATCATTATACTAATAATTATTATTATCAACATTATTATCATCATCATCATTATTATTATCACTATTATTATATATTATGATAATAATGGTTATTTGCATAATAACAATGATAATAATAATAATTATTATTATCATACTTATCATTGTTATTATTATTATTAGTAGTAGTATTATCATCATTATCATTATTACCTACCATTACCATTATTACAATTATTATAATTTTTATTTTTATATATTTGTATTATCGTTTATCATAATCACTATTGTTATTACTATTGCTATTATCATTATTATCATTCCTATAATTATTTTCATTATCATTATTATTATGATTGTTATCATAATTATCATCATTACTATTATCATTATTAGTATCATTATTATTATCATTATTAGTATCATTATTATTATCATTATCATTATTCTAACAAAATTGTCATTGCTATTATCATCACTGCTACTACATTATCATCATTATTATCATTATTGTCATCATTATTATCATTTTCGTTATTATTATCATTATTTCATTACTGCTATTAACATCATTATTAATGATACTACTATCATCATCATTATTATCATTATTATTGATATGATTATTATTATTGTTAATATTATCAATATAATAATAACAATAATACTAATAACAATATTAATAATACTGATAATAATAATTATTATTATGATTATTATTATGATTATTATAATTATTATCATTATTACTATTATTATCATCATTATATATATATATATATATATATATATATATATATATATATATATATATTTATATATATATATATATATATATATATATATATATATATATATATATATATATATATATATATATATATATACGTATGTACATACATACATACATATATATATATATATATATATATATATATATATATATATATATATATATATATATATATATATGTTTCTGCTTATATGTGCATATACATATATATGTATATATTCACATATATAAATATACACATGTATACACACACGCATATATATACATATACATATGTTACACACACACACGTACATGTGTGTGTATATAAATCTTGCACTCATCATTGCATCTGTAAGATGCTTACACCTACATTATCGTCTTATAATTAAACTATAATTCACAATACTATTACCCTGACAGCCAATATCGTCATCCTGTTTGATATAACCGACATTGGTAACAATTGCAGTTATTACAGAAAGGTTAATAACAATAACAAAATAAACGTAATTATTCCGATAGTCAATAACTCATCATCGCCTCAACCGCAGCAACACCATCATGTGCCTTCATAAATTCCCAGACTCTTCTCCAAGCATCTCTCCCACAGCAGCATCAACATCACAACTATTTCCCATCAGAACCTCCTCGTCAGCTTTCCTCGTCAGCACCTCGTCACCAGCAGCAAAACACCGGCTGTGCCAGGCTCTCTTCCCTTCGCAGCAGCCAGTACATCAGGGCGGGCTGTGCGAGTACCCAAGCACGGGAGGTTTGACCTGAAGCCTTAAGAACCCCGCACGCACTGTCACAAATATCCGCCAAATGGTTAAGAATCCCGAGCCATCTTTCACGGGCATATACAACACAATGCATCCCCCTCCTCTTTCCTCCCCCCTTTTTTTTAAAGCCTCCCAAACAACAACTGCACCTCGACGAGCGCCAGCGAAGAATGGGCTTTCCGTCGCTGGTTCGAAAAGGTGGAAATAGTACCGTCACTTTCGTTTTCGTTAAGCCTGTTGAGAGAGCGACGCTGAGGGTGTTGCCTGGGAGTTTTATTTCGTCTGCGTTTCATTTTTTTTTTTTTTTACTTCTGTATTATTATCAAACGATTATTTGAGGGAATGCAGGGGGGTTTACAATTTACAACGTGAGGAATTATTGGGTTTATAATACATAATTGATCTTGATAGAAAGGGGTATGTTTGGCTCTTTATAATATAAGAATTGACATACCACTTACCTGCACCTCAGAGCCGTCGGTGGGGGGGGGGAGGCTAACAGAGGTCTACCTGATATCGTCAATTTGTTTCATTTTCCTTTCATCTTCGTCATACTTATGAATATATACTTAGGCCATACTAGGATAAATCATATAATACTATAATCCCGTTAAACGAATATCTAAATGGTCAGCCAAGTACAGCAGAATTATATACAAATACCAAGACATTCGAAATCTAAATAGAAACCTCGAAAGAATAGAAACTGACGATGTTATAAAAAAATACCAACGATATATTGTGAAACAACGAAGATTATCAAAATGCCTCTCGAACGCACCATACTTTGATATAAACTAATAACTCTGAAAGATCTATGGTATTTTGCGCGTTATCTCCGACCGGTAATAACTCTACAAATAAATAATTTACGGTACATTGGACTTTTTTTTTTTACTCCTTTTCAAATATCGAAACACAAGTGATGAACGGAACGAACGAACACGTCCCAGACACTCAAAATACCCTGCGTTGTGAAGGAATTTTTTTTTCTATTCTAGACTGATGTTTTACAATGAAGGCTTATCAGTGTGGGAACCGAAAAAAATTATAATCATTTGACGATGCTAAATTTGCTTCTGTCAAGTTGACTGATACAGCCGTTGTCTAGAGAACCGGTCGGTTACTGCTACGCTTACTATAGTTTTGTTACATAATCTATATGATAGAGAGAGAGAGGGGGGGGGGAGAGCAAGAGAGAGAGAGAGAGAGAGAGAGAGAGAGAGAGAGAGAGAGAGAGAGAGAGAGAGAGAGAGAGAGAGAGAGAGAGAGAGAGAGAGAGAGAGACAACAACACATACATACACACATATATAATGATATATTCATTTATATATATATATATATATATATATATATATATATATATATATATATATTGATTGATTGATTGACTGATAGATAGATAGATTGATAGATATAGATAGATATATAGTTAAATGAATAAATAGATGATAAAGATAGAGAGAGGGGGCGGGAGCGGCTGCGAGACAACGCTCCACTGTGTAC